GTTGGGAAGATGGCCAAACCAATGACTGTTTTTCCTGTCCTGTTGAATTGTGAAAACAACCTTAATGTGAAAAGAGGAAAAGTAGAATGTGTTTTTCTAGACTTCTTTGAGAAGTCCCCTAATTTAAACTTCTCTTCCAACCTAATTTTGAAAACTGTAAAAGTTTTAGTCTCTGGGTATAAGTGGAAACAATTTGGATCCTGTCATAAAATATAAGACAAAAAATCTTCTCCAATCTTTTTGCTCCTATAGTAAGGATCAAGGTCTGAGAATAATAGAAACCGAGTTTCATGTTTTTGCCTATGGAGTGGGGTATAAGGTCAAAAATACTTTGTCATTTTAAATCTTTCCTAGTATATATTTTTTAGGTTATTACGGAAATGCCGAAAATGAAAAAAAAAATTGCCCACAAGCTCGCTACTTTGAAACAATTATATAAATGTAAAAAATGTGTTTTCCTCTTCATTCTCCCTCTCTCCAGAGATAGCTAATGTTAACAGTTTGGTATGTATCCTTCCTGAGTTTGGCCCACACTGATGTTGCATTTTCATTTTTTTCCATGTCATAATGATGATATAAATGGTTGTAAGGCCAGAGACTCATTTATAACAAAGACACATTTATAAGGGAGGAGTTCGGGTTATTTTAAAACTTTGAGAGTTACTTACATTACAAATGAATATGATTGTTTAAAATTTTGGGAAATAGTACATACAACCAAAGTGAAACTAGACCACTCAACATTTGATATTTCTTGATGATTTAGAAGTAGTTAAAGACATAATGATTGCCCAGAAAAATCATGAGTATCAGTTGTAGAAAATAGAAATCTCAATGAACTTTCTGATTGTACATATTCTATGTGTGCACACTTCGTATGCATCAGAATTTCCATTTTGATCAAAATCCTTGTCCAGAATATAATTCTTTCTGGTTTGCTACCTACGGATCTATGCTAGATGACCTAATACTCCAATCTAGATCACATTGACTTCAAAAGAGTTGTTTACACAAGGCGAGAAAATAAGCAGCACAGATTGGGGCAGAGTTTTTCAACCTCAGCACCCCTGATACTCTGGGCAGAATAATTGTTTCTCATGCGGGGTGGGGTGGGTGGGCGGCCATGTCCTGTGCATTTCAGGATGTTTAGCAACATCCCTGGCCTCCAGCTACTAGATGCTAGTTGTACTCCCTAGTTGTGACAAACAGAAATGTTTTCAGATATCCAGAAGAGAGGATAAAATCACCCCTAGTTGAAAACCATTGGGTTAGGAAAAAGGCATTTCAAGGTGATCAATGGTAAATATCATTTCCTTCCAATTAATGCAGAGTAGATGCTCATTGTTTTAGATGCCCTTTTAAGTAAAATCATGCAAGAGTCTTGTTACTTTGCAGTCCCCAAAGCACAAACCCAATTTCTTCTCTCCCCTCAGTGGACTCATATATACGTGGTTAAACTATGTCAATGATAAATTGAAATTGACATAAATTCTACCAGGAAGGTGGAATATTATGATGTTATTGTCAAATTAATGGAGTGGGAAAAAGAATAGATAGAACTACCATATAATCCAGCAATCCCACTTCTGGGTATATATCCAAAGGAAATGGAAACTGTATCTTGAAGAGGTGTCTGCACTCCCATGTTCATTGCAGCGTTATGCATAATAGATAAGACATGGAAATAATCTGAGTGCCTCTGTGATTATCTCCGGGTGGGCAATGATGAGTAGTTTTAACTGTCTTCCTAAATCTTGTTTCTATATTCCAACTGTTCTCCTATGCTCACGGAACATAGAAAAAAAAAATATATATATATATAATTCAGCCATGAAAAAAGAAGGAAATTCTGCCATTTGCAGCAATATGGATGAAACTGGAGGTCATTATGCTAAATGAAATAAACTAGACAAAGATAAATACTGTATGATCTCACTCATTTCACTCATATGTGGAATCTAAAAAAAAAAAGTTGAACTCATAGAAACAGAGAATGGAGTGGAATGGTGGCTGCCAGGGGGTGGGGGATGGGGAAAATGGGGAGATGTTGGTCAGAGGGTACAACCTTTCGGTTACAAGATGAATAAATTCTAAGGTACTAATCTAAGCATCTAATGTACAGCATGGTGCTGACTGTAGTTAATAATATTGTATTATATATGTGATTAGATCTTAAGCATTCTTACCACAAAAAGAAAAAAAGTAACTATGTAAGGTGATAGATTTGTTAATTAATTTAATCGTGGTAATCATTTCACTATGTATACGTCTAGTAGATCATGCTATTATACAGTTTAAATATATACAATTCATTTTGTCAATTATACCTCAGTAAAGCTGGAAAAAAAGGACAGATACCTGTTATTCTTCTTATTTTGTCCTCTGTCTCTCTGGCTAATTTCTCTGCTGCATCTTTTAGCTGTTTCACTTTTCCTAATGTTTCCTTTGCCAGTCCTGTAGCACTTGTCTTATGTTGAAGCACAGCATATTGAGTTTGTAGCTCAACGAACTTCTGTAACAGAGCAATATTCCTGTCATTGGAAAATATTCATAAAGTGTGTACATATGCATGATGTTGCATGATACTGTTCATAAATGGAATAAGAGAAACCATGATCCAGTCTATATTCTTGAATTACCCTGATATTTTCAAAAGGGCTTCTATTTGCCCAGGTGGAAAAAAATCTCACCTTTAGTTAATTAAAAATAAAACTTCCTTGTTACAAAACAACAATCATGATTCCATGTTAAGGCAACTATTTATGAGGCACCAATTGTCCTGAATTATGTTAAGGTTAGAGATACAGAGGACAGAATGATCCAGTTCTGCCCTTGACAAATCTTGGTTCAGTTGGGTTAAACAGCTGCATCTACAGAATGCAGGACAGAATGAGCAGTGATGACTTGGAAGCAGCAAGGTATACATTATTTGGTTGGCAAAAAGGTGAGAGAGAAATGAGGTAGGAAGAGAGGCAGGAAGGGAAGTAGAAGTGTTAGTATAAAGATCTCCCTCAGAGTTAGAAAGGAAATCTTTGAGGTCAGACACAAGAATGGAATATGGAAGTGGGAAGAGGGCGGGCAGGAAGCAGTTTCTCAATCTCTGTTCCATGGAAAATGCTGTCAACTCCCAAGTCAGTGGAAAATTTACCCAGCGCATTAGGGATTAAAAAATAAGAAAATAGACCAGTGGTAAAAACAACTTAAGATTTTCCTCTTGTTTAAGCTACCATATTAATGCTACCGTGCTAAGAAAATGAGATGGTAAGTTCTTTCGGCAGCCTAAATTAATGGGCCACTTTCCACAACGGTTTGATTAACTCACTCTGATTTTTGCAACTTGATCTATTCTCTGGCAGATGACTTTCACTTCTTGTTTTCTTTATATGTTATGTGATTTAATTAGAGTAAAGGGCAAATACATACAAAATAAACCAGTGACGTAAATTGTAAAAGTTTAGAAGTTCAGAAAAAATTTGACCAGGAGACCACTAAGAATACTAGGGAGAGTATACAGGGAGCAAATACTCCAGCATGATTTGGCCAAAGGACTCCTGCCTTCATCAGAGACAACCCTCCATTGCAGAAAAGACTTCCTGTCTATCGGAATCCCTACAGACATACACTACTGAGCATGGACCAGCTCTACAGGAAATCCTGATAAATGGTGCAAAAATCTGGGGTTAAAGGATTAGCCTTTGAACAAGCACTGTTTGTCTGCTCTTGGTGGCAGTGGTAGGCCTAATGACCTCCTCAAGGCTCCCGGCCTGGCGTCGGGCCGGTTCAGCCTGAGTTTCTGCATGGATGGCTTGCTCTTGATTCCTTTGCAGCTTGATCCGCAGCTGGGAAAGTCCGTCCTCCAGTGCTGACTGCTGCTTTGCTAAGTCCAGCTCATTCTTAGTCTCTTTGGCTTGATTTTCAGCCTGTTGTTGATTTAAAGATCAGAAAGGAGAAAGTCTGTTTATGTAACAAGAAACAAACGAGAAAATAAATGATATAATTACCCCTCAGAAAATAAGTTAGGTATGAAGGAAAACAAAATTATTCCTTTGCTTTTTCTGTTCCATTTACAAAAAAAATGTTAAAATAAAATACTTCAGACATACTAAAGAGTCTAAGAGAAAATATGATATATATATATGCATGTACCTATGTACCTACCAGCCAATTTAAGAGTAAAACATTGCCAGTGAGCCAAGGTCCTCGGTATACCACTCCCCATCCCATCTCCTCTCCTTCCTCCTAAAGGCGACCACTACCCTGAATCTAATATTTGTCATTCCATGTACTTCTACATGCTTTTCACTATATCCCATGCAATATTTCTAACAACATGCAATAGTTCCTAATTTTGACTGTATACAAATATATCATTATTTTATTTTTATTTTCCAATTATTTTTCTATTTTCCAGTTAATGCAGGTGGCTTCTACTTTTTTCCCCTTACAAATAATAATGAACATGTTATACTTGTTTTTTATTTCAGTGTCTATACTTGTCATATTTAGAAGTCCGATTTAAATATTTCTGAAATCTAACCGATCATTTGTTCTCTCTTACCTCCTGTTCTTTGGTCATACTTTCATGCTTTCTTTAATTTTCTTAAACATAATAAATGTTCTTATTTTGTATTCTATATCCAGTAATGATAATATCCACATCTGGTTGCATTTACTGTTTCTCTTGTGTAAGGAAATTGTTTCTTTATGTGTTTTGGGGGAATTCTTTGAGGCTTGGGTTTTAAGGTGCATTCCTTTGGAGGAGATTTTCTGTTTGCCTCTGTCAGGCATTTGAGGGCACCACCACCCCAGGACCACTTTAAATGACATTTTTAGCTTGAGTTGTTGGGGCCACCCAGGTAGTGTGAATCCTAGTCCCAAACTCCTGTGAGAGCCAGCCCAGCTTTAGCAATTCTTAATGAAGACTTGCCTTTCCACTCAGGGGCAAATGTCTTTACTGATGTTTCTCTCTCTCTCAGTCTCTCTCTCTCTCTAGATATAGATAGCAATAGATATAGATAGATAGATTTAGAGATACAGATATAGTTATATCTGCATAACAGTTTAAGATTTCACTGAGGATTTTGCCTTTTTGGGGTCCCATCTCTATGCAGGGTCTTATTTTCTACTTGCATGGGCTTTATTTTCTGTCTGTGATGCATGGTGACCATTAAAACCAACAGCTCTAATATACCAGAGATTAGCAGATGGATGCCCTCTGCCTGCTGTCAGGTTCATGCTTAATTACCTCTCTGGATTCATGCTTTCCTGTCATTTTTGGCATCTGAGGATTTACTCTCTTCATACTATTTCCTCTCTTCGATACTAATTCAGCTATGCATTTAAAAATTTTAAAATGTCCTATCTAACATTTTTAGTTTTTTTTGTCATTGTTGTTCTCTATTAGTAAGGTTCCTTGCACGTAGTGGTCCACCATACTTTTAGAAATAGAAGTCTCTGTGCCCTTGGGCATATGTCAGAGGTTTTGTAGAGCAGGAATCTTTAATTTTTTTCTGTAAAGGGCTGGATAGTAAATATTTTACACCTTGTAATCTATAAAGTCTGTACTGTGATTATTCAATTCTGTGCCATTGTAGCATAAAAATAGCCACAGATAATATGTGGCTATATTCCAATAAAACTTTGATATGGAAAGAGTTGGTGCACCCATTTGGCCCTGGGGCTATATTTTGTCAGCCCCTGTTCTAGAGAACATGCCAAGAAGGAGGAAAATCTGGAGGCCTTCCTAATTCTTTTGTCACCCGATATATGGAACCTCTTTATATCCAATCCTTTGATTTCCTGTTGCACTACTTTCTGTTTTGTTGCTGTCTGCTTTTCTTTTTAAGATGCATGCATTTAGATCTATAAAATACAGCCGAAGAATTGAGACTGAGTAACTCGCAATCTGATGGGAAGGAGATGAGATAGATGATGGAGCCTTGGAGGAAGTGACTCCACACACCCTGGAACTGGGTCCTGTCTTGTCCCCCAATTGCCAGAATTCCTCTCCTGGATCCATCACATGGGTTAAACCATGGCCTTGCTCCCTCCAAACTCTGGACAGAACACTTTCTTTAGGATAAGATATTTTTTCAGTCGTAGGATACTCTGATGAGATTTTATGCATGTTTAGTTACAAAAACCTAGCAACAATTAACTTCATTTCTTTGGTTTGTGAACTTTAAAAAGTCTATTACTTTCCCTGGTATCAGAAGGGATAAACTCTAGCCTCAAATCTACTTTTAAGTAGCTGTGTGACCTTGGGAAAGTCACTTAACCTCCCTGAGTCTTAGTTTCCTTATTTACAAGCTGGCAATAGCACCTGCTTTATCCCCAGGATTGGTCAACAAGGAAATGTAATGTTGCTGGGAGAGCTCTATAGAACATTATATAAATGCATAATACTACCATAATCTTATTTTATCCTGATAATAATCCCATCAGACAGGTAAGGCAAGCATGGCATTGGCACACATAAAAACTGGGTTATTTCTACCCTCAAAATCTATTTCATGTTAGTTTCAAAGAAAAAAAGAGAAATACCTGAAGTATATTCTTTTTTATTTTTGTTATCTCAGCAGTCAGCTGTGTGATAGTAGAATTTGCCCGTTCTTGAGTGATTTGAACTTGTTGCAACTTATTCAACATTTTGTCAAGATTTAATAGAACATTTCCTGATTTTCTAAGGTAAAATATTAATATTTCGGGTTAGATAAATATGCAATTATTCATTTATTTCAACTTGAGAAGTCACTGGAGTCAACCAAAAGTTTTACAATATTATTTATAAAGTAAATTTAAATTACTCTTAAGTGAGGCAAAATGCTAAAGTCTTCATTCTGAATAACGGACATATTAAATGCCAATAAAAACACATATATATGCATGTGCAGATACAGATTTCACCAGATATGGAAATCAAGGATACAGGTCTTGTTTATTAATTTGTCATAAGCACAGAGGTTTGGGAATATAACTGCCAAGTTTTGAACAGAAAAACTATCCTCGGCCAATTCTAGTGCTCTAATTTCTCAAACTTAAGCAACAATTTCTAAATCCTTATTGGATTGGGGGTGAGGGTCAAGAGGCTCCACAGAGAGCAAAGAGAGAACTGAAGGCCTTGCATTTTTAGGCTGTGTTTATTCAGGTTTATTTAAGCTTCAGTGGCATTCCAGTTGCCCAGGGGCCCAGTCAGAGGTTAAAATCACAAGCATTCCAAGTGATAGGCGATTTTATAGAAATGAGCTCACCTCAAGTCAACATTCACCAGATACTTAGATCTATGGGCTCAAATACACCTTTGGAAAAATATACCAAGTGAGTGAAATATCAGATAGATCTTTGCAGAGGCATAATTAGCAATATTTGTGCCCAAAGCCAAAACAGCTAAATGCCCCCTTCCACATCTAACCTACCCTCTCCTCCTAGTGGGCATAGGTCTCTTATAAAAAAACAAAACAAAACAAAACAAAAAACTTTATTTAGAGCAGTTTAGGTTCACAGCAAAATTGAAAGGAATGTACAGAGAGTTCTCATATACCCCCTACTCCCACAGGTATATCTCCCCGTCTCCACCCATTATGAATATGCCTCACCAGAGGGCACATTTGTTAGAATTGACAAACCTGCACTGGCATATCATAATCACCCAATGTTCATAGCTTATCTTAGGGTTTATTCTTGGTGTATATTCTAAGGGTTTGAACAAATGTATGACATGTATCCATCTGTAGTGTCATACAGAGTATTTTCACTGTTTTAAAACTCCTCTGTGCTCCATTTCTTCATCTTTCTCCTTGACCCCTGGCAACTACTGATCTTTCTTACTGTCCCCTCAGTTTTGCCTTTTCTGGACTGGCCTACAGTTGGAACCATACAGTATGTCATCTTCCTTTTCTATGCTTCTTTCTTTAGTTATATGTAGCTTTCAGGAGCTTTCCTTTCTTATAACAGCCCCCTCTCCGCCCCACCACCATACACGCACACCGTATCTTTTTACTGAAGTCATTTTTTTTCTTTTAGATTTTCAATGTACTGCTCATTATAGTGCATTTAGAAAAGAAGAAGAAGGAGAAGGAGCAGGAAAAGGGAACCAAGAAGAAGAAAAATATCAGTAAGGGAAAAATTTACCAGTAATCCTACCACCTTTTAAAGTACTGACATATTCTAGCATTTTGTTTTACAAAATTTTTTCTTTTCATGATTGAGATCCTCTTCCATGTATAATCTGCTACCTTATTTTTAAAAGCATTAACATTACACTGTAAGAATCTGCATGTTGTTAAAAATCCTTCATTTATATCATTTTTAATAGCTGTGTGATTGTACTGCCGTTACTTAATCTTCCTAGTTTTAAATATTAAAACTGGAAGGAGTTGGACTTACAGTTGAGTCTGGTACATTTCATTTGTGTAAGTGGATCATGAGACAGAGAGGGCAGCTCAGGTCTTGACTCTGCTGGGCATCCCAAAATGGTGGTGGATGTTGATGATGTAACTAACCACCATCTAACAACCCTATCACCCTGACCCACAGCACCCCATGCTCATAAAGCTTCAAGGTGGCTTTTCTTTTTGCTTGGCTAAGTCAACAAGGGCAGAAGGAAGCATGAGTTAGTTAACTCTCTGTACTGTGTATATCATTTTACTCCTATATTATTCCTGGGGCAGTAGTGTTCATTTCTTCTATTCCTCACCATCATACCTTTTTATTAAAGTCATTTTTTTTAATTTAGATTTTGAAAGTACTGCTTATTATTATAAATTTAGAAAGTACCAAATATATAATAGGTAAACAAGAAGGAGAAAATACTCTGATATTCTCACCACCTGTTAAGATACTGTAATATAATTAGTATATGGCATTTATTGGTACATATTAGTACAAAAAGGTAACAGACCATTGGAAAGGCATTTCGAGTTTAAGGAAAATGGGAAACAGGGATCCTTGCACACTGTCTCCCAATCTCCCAGTTTCCTGGGGGCCTCTCCACAGACAGCTTAGCCCTCATTTGGGTACCAAATTATTGGAACGTAATCTCATTTGAATGTTATAATTCCTTAGGCAAATATTTTTCAAATGGCCTTTTAGTGGCTGGCCTGTTAGAGCAAGATGAGAATATTAATACTGTACTTACTCAGCTGCTTTTGCCTTTACCAAAACCTTTCGGACTCCATCTGCTGTTTTATTTAGCTTGTCCTCATCTGTCCTGTAGTCCTCACACAGTTGCATAAATTTCCATATTTTGTCAAGTTCCTGGGTTAGATTTTGTGAAGTTATTGGCAGGTGGACGTTAAGAACATGATTTGCAACCTTCTCTATGTCCTCTGGAGGCACGTTTTCCTCTTAAATAAGAAGGTAGATTTTAGGTCATTATGTCTCCTTATCAAATACTGTATCTTTTAAGTATAACCAAAACAAACTAAGTCAAATGCATTTGCATTTGATTGTATATGTCCCTAGAATGCAGGGATTAAATTGCATATGTTCTATAGATTCTTCTTCATCTTCAATTTCCCTTTGCTCTGAAAGGAACATTGCTCATACAGTGCTGAGTACCTGCTACACTTGTTGGAAAAAATGAAAAACTCCAGACTTGGAATATTGTATATATGCTACAAAATATCCTTGTAAAAATTGTTTATTATAAGCACAAATTCAAAAGCAATTAAAATGTTTAGATGCCAGTCATTGAAATTCAAACACAATGAATAAGATTCTGGGGCAGCCTTGGGTTTGGACTCAACAAAATTTGATTCGAATCCTTCATGACATTAAAGAGGCTCACAATTTTTGCTCATCTGTATAACTGAGTAACTATACCTGTTGCTGCCACTCAAAGGCTTATCTTGAGAAGGAAATACAATACCGAGTAAAGTATCATGTGAATAACATCATAAAGAAACTTCTAAATACATCTCTGCCCTGCTTTTTGGAAAAATAAAATTGGCCCCCTTGTGAGAACTAACCATGGAAGATAGACTGGTAGTGTTTGGGGTAACAACCACTGCTGTCTAGCTTCCTACTGAGGACAGCGTAAGTCCCATGGGGAAGTAGAGATGCATTAGACGCAGATTTGATCCTCAAGGGGTTTACCACCAAGTGAGGAAACATAAGTTATTGTATATAAATACTGATTATGTAAGAAGAGAAATGATAAGTATAAGAAAATACTTCAAGAATAACTTCAAAAAGGCATTTTAACTGAGTCTTGGAGGACAGCAGAGATTAAATTCGTGGATATATGGGGTGAGGGGAGGGGTAAGAGGCATTCTAAACTGAGGGAACCATAGAAGCAAAAGCTCACAGTGGAACGAGAAACAGTTCATACTCACTCTTGGTTGTAGAGTGGGGTATCTAAAATTGGAGGAGCAGCTCAGAAAGGCTGGGAGCTGGTCACCCGAACCCCTAAATGTGAGGCTAAGATACTTGGAATTTCTTTAAGAGGCAGTGGGAGCCACAGATGGTTTTTAGCATTTTAGTGACATGACACAAGTTAATATCCTTTTTGTCGTCATTTTTGTTTTAGCTATTTTGTTTAATATAAAAAGATATATTTTTTCCTGTAATTTTTTTTGAAATGCGACAATTTTTTTTTTTTTTTTTTGCGAATAAGTTATATTCTAAACAGAATCAGGGAGTTTTTAAAAATAGTCATTCTTTTTGTAAAAAGTTCTAATAAAAAGTGGTTTTCATTTAACCACATATTTAGTCATCAAACATTCATTGGTATTTACTATGAGATTATAAATTCAAAACATTTTAATGGGATTTTCAGGAGAAGTGACACAAACTTTGTTAATACGGAATTCAGAAAACAAGGAAAATATAAAGATGGTCAAAGAAGAGTTGACGAGTGAGGCCACCATACAGTCTAATGGTGATTTTATTTGGGTTTCATAGCAAGGAAAAGAGAAGAATTGGGTGGGTGAAAGGTACTGTTCCCTGGTGACGCTGACCAGAGAATTTTCTTTAATGGAATAGGATTTTTCTCTATGCTTAGTCTAATTTTTGTTGTAATAATTTGAATACAGTATTTTTTTTTTTAATTCCTTGGGTTAAAGTAAAATTTTTATTAGAAATTTACTCAGTAGCAATGAGAAATAGGACTTATAAGGGAAAAGGCTCCATGATTTGGTGAATTAGGTGAAAAGCTGGTAGAGCCTTCTCTTGGGGCTCAGGACCATATTCCGCCATTTTCACACAACTGGTTGGGCAGTTTTGATTTTATTTTTGTTTTGATGCTGAATTGACTCATATCTGCAGAAATAGCTAATGTGTTCCTCAATCCAACCAGTTCCTGGATCTGTGTCTAGTCAATACCAATCCATCTAGCTAACTCATTAAAAATTTGCTTTATGTCCAGTAGACTGATTCTACCTCCATTCATTTTTACTGATTATTTTGGTAATTTTTACTGATTCTTTTTATTACTTAATTATTTCCCTATCTTGAAGATCAGAACTAGAAGCTGCTGCCAATACTATTTCTAGAAATATTGAGATGGAAAAAATACTTGGCCACAGGGGTCTCCTATAAGTTTTAAACATATTAATGAAATGATTGCACAGATTGTAATAGATATCCCAATTGTCAATTCATGTAGAGAGTGTTCAATTATTGAGTTTAGAAGATGGCTATGGAAAAGAAAGCCTCTTGAGATGAATTCCGTGCAGTGCTGTACCCAAACTGCATTATTTGCAGAGTAAGGTTTCATGTCAATTTCCAGCCATACTATTTGATTTTTATCTTTAATAAGTCTTTGGAGTTTAAAATATGTCTCTCCCCAAATAAGGCATGATGAGGAATAGGTTTATAATTATAATTATAATAATTTATAATAATAATGAATTAAATTCTTTTGGTCACAGAGTGCAATGTGACGCTTGGGAAACAGCTGATAATAGTTAATAACCAATATTTTAGAAGCTGGTACACTATGGTATTTGATACACAACCCAAAATTTGGCATACCTCGATCTCATAAACTCTGTCAGCAGAGAAAATCATAGAATCCCAACATTAGGGAATCTGATAGAGGCATCATGCTGGACTTTCCTTTTTTAAAAAAATAAAATGGCTTTAAACACAAAATTTATTTGTTTATTTGTGTGTATATATATATATATACACACACACACATATATATATATGGCTTTCTGTATGAGATTAATTTAGTAATAAATTCTAGAATTTAATTAAAATTCTATATATATATATATATAGAATTTTAATTCACACACACACACACGCACACACACACACACATATATTTGGTCCAGAGTTAATATTTTGAGATTATTTTCATTAAGAAAACTCAAATTAAGGGGTACATCATGTTTCTGATTTAGGCATGTCATTTACAATTAACGTAATTTAGAATTGGTTGTGAGGTTTGAGTATATATTAAAAAAATTAAAGAAACAATAAGTTGTTCTAATATTTTTTAAGAATTACCTGACAGAAACTTTTTCAGTTTTTTGATTAAAAGATGCATTTTTTCTTTTTCAGATTCACTTTGGTTTTTCATATTCCTCAGTTTCTCACTTAACTGTAAGGTGTTGTTTTTGGAGACTTCTGCCAGTTTACTTATATTTTTGATCTGAAATTAAAAAACAACAATGAGGAAAACACAACTAGGCACATTCTGTGATGCTTAATTACTTAGCTGGACCAAATAAAACTGTTACTAAAAATGAAATAGAAGTGTAGGTAATTTAATAATGGATTCCCTTTAAAGGACTCTTTTAAAAGATATTATTTGCTTTCATTATATTTTCTTAATAATGTAAATTTATCTCAAAACATTATTAATATTCAAAATTATTATTTGAAAACAATATTGACCTAATACTAATGACTTTTCTTGACACAAATCTCAAACACAAATTCTGTTTTAATGAGGCTTTAGCAGTTCATAATAACAACAAATTTCACTTAGAACTAGTTACTTACAGTGGCCATATGTTCAACAAGTTTAGAGCATTTTCCTTTATATAAGTTAAAATAGTTACTCTTCTAAACCTTCCTCAAATTCAAGTAATACACTTTCTTGGAAGCTCAAAAGAAAGCATTTCGTCTGTTAATAAATGCGTTTGAACTCAGTGTGGTCTACAAAGATAAATTCTGAACACTTTGTGCATTTGGTGGAGGAATGATAGGACTAAAAGGCTTGCAACCTAAAAATGCAAATTCTTAAATGCGTGATTTGAGAAAGGTCATGGACTTTTTGGGGGGATTCCAAGAAACTTTAGAAAAAGGAAAAATGGAAAGCAATAGGACAATATCACCAACAAGTTGAGCTGTATTGAATAAATTAATTGTGACAGAAGTAGGGCTAATTAGGATCAAACATAATTAGGGGAAAAAATCTCCCTTTATTTCTCCACAAAAGAAGGCTGCTTAATTGAGCCATACATATTTTGTGGGAAAGGATTTAATTGTATCACTGGCAAATGATGAAACAAAAAAGAAATATTTACATGATTAAAAATATGTATCTTAATTTGAGTTATTCCTTAATTCTCTAGAACTTTTTAAACTTTAAAATAGATAGCAGTTGCTAAGAGAGTAGATCCTAAAAGTTTTCCTCATAAGTAAAAAATTGTAACTATGCATAGTGATTTTAACTAACCTTACTGTGTTAGTCATTTAGCAATATATACATATAGTAAGTCATTATGTTGTACACCTAAAATTAATATGATGTTATATGTCAATTATATCTCATTATAAAAAAGTGGATAGCAGTAAAAATGCATAAGAGTAAAATGAGAATTCCAGAAATAAATACTTTGGACAGGAAAGCACCAAATTACACAGATGAATCTCAGTGGAGATTAGTAGATGCCATATTCAGAAAGAAAGAGATTGCTAAGTTACTTCACTCTTAAAACATCTGTCTGCAATCCATCCTCTGTCACAATTGACTCCTGAGAATTCTCTCACAATCTCTCTGGCACTCTTCCACCTCTAATCAAGAGGAAAACAGCACACCATTTTATCAACATGACAACCCCTCCCCAACCTTTTCCAGTTCTCCAGTAATGTGCTGATTAAGCCAGATTCTGCTAATATGTACTTCAGGGGCTATCTTTTAAAAGTAATAATTTAACACAGAGATTGTTTAAATGGTGTGAGATTTCTGTTTTCTGAGAAGGGGCAATAAAGTAGTTTAAAATTATATTAAGCAATTAAGGATTGTTTTAACCGCTGGGATGCAAGACCAGGATTTGCATTTATGGTCACTGCTGTATTTGCAACATCTAGGTAAATACCTACTATATAGTCAGTACTCAATGAATATTCATTAAAGCAATGAAGAATAATATAGAAGTGAAAAGGTATGTAGCAATAAGAATTATGACTCTGTAAATAAATGTTTTCAACATTTAGTATGTATAGGGATGTTCTACAGCTTGGCTAATCAGAGGCTTGCTCCAGACTTGGATTCTGGAGCACGTAGAGCAAGGATGCAGGACCAGCTGGGGCTCAAGCCCATAGAGGTGAGGCTCACAGAGCAAACTATTGCTCTGAGGGTGTGTGTGTGTGCACGCATGCCCATGCACGCACATGCGCGCTTATATTCACGTGACAAGCACTTGGGTGTGCATACACAAACGTGCATCATAGCTGTGGTCCTCACCCCTTTCCCAAGCTTGGCCCTCTAGGCTCCTTTTATTTCTGAGATGTCTTCACACATATTTTCTTTTTGTTCAGGAGTTGGTTTCTGTTGCTTGCAAATAAGAGTGCTGACTGACACAATATTTAACTTACATTGGTAAAAAATTCAGCTCTTTAAGAGCTTTTTCTTCACCAAAGGCTCAATGTATATTGTCAAAAAGAGCAATCATCATCATCTTGTTCTCGAGATGAATATAATGTATCTACAGAATACCTAAATTGTATCCATATTTTAAAAATGAATATAATGTATTCACAAAAAACTAAAGTAAATTAGATAATTAAAATTTATACTCATTTATCAATATGACCAGAAAAGTAAATAAAATCATTTAAAATTATTAGAGATTCGATTATCAGTGACTTAAATATTAAAACAACTTTATCATGTTTATCAACATAGGAAGAAGTTCAAGGCATAAGAGTAATAATCCTATTTAAATATTTCCTAACATTTAATTAAATTTTAACATTAAACTTTATATATTTGGTAGAATTTCAAATATACCTGTGAATTGATGAAAAACTATTTTTTACTTTGAGAGATCTATAGTTTTCAAATATTCGAGGCTAGGAGTCTTCACATTTCTATGTAGTGTTTGCTATAAAAGAATCATGTCCTCACAAGTCTATGTCCTACAAACATATATATTGTAATAGAAATATCAATATAGAAATAGAAAATATGTCAATATTTACATGTACTTCTAAATTTACATTTATATCCATACCTATATTTTTATCCAATTTTTCCAGGCATAAGAATACCTAATAACCAGAATCTACCCTTTGCTTAGAAGCTAAATGACAATTTTTAAAATTTCAAATAGTTTGCTTTTAAAAAAAATTGCTTTAGCTATATAAATAAAACAAGAGAAAACATTATTTACCTGATTCTTCCACCCTTGAACCTGGTTGCTCAAATTATAAATCATGGACTCTGCTTCTTGAGCTTTCTGAAAGGCATTCCCTGAGAGGGTCAGGGAGTCACGACAACTTGGGCCACCACAGGTTGAGAGCACGCATGGAACATCCCCTGGTTCTCCACACACCTGACAGGAGAAATGACTTGTGTTAAAAAGCAACTTGCTGGCAGATTTTTTTCTGAATGCCATCCAGGCTCACTGAGGCAAGGCCCTGTGCTATTCATATGTATTTCTTCAATAGTTCTTCACGCTTAATGCGTAGATGTGACCCATTAAATGTTTCCTAGGTAACTAACTGAACCGGTATCTAAATTATTCATTATCAGCATTGTGCCAATCACTATCCTTTTTATACTTACAGTTTTGGGAGAAAATTGACAAATATTTAGCATTTCCATGTTAATTTTATTTTCTAAAAAATAAAAATTACCTTTTACTAACAATGAGGCAGGAGGAGTAAATGCCCACAATCTGTACCATTTGGAAATAGTAAATAATATAAAATAATAAAATCAAGCCACAATCTTTATTCTTTGATTTTTCTCAAACTTTGACTTAAGAAATAAAAATATATAAACATATTTATATTGTTTATACATTACATAACAGAGCACATATATGTTATATACACTTATACATTTATAAAATAAATTAAAAAAATAAAATGTAAGATGAAAATACAGCTGAAGAGGTCTGTATACCAAGTAGAAACCACAAACATTTTTACTACACCATCATGAATGCTTACCTTTTCCTTCAATATTTGGATATCTGGTATCTTAATCTGCTTTAAATTTTCCAACGACAAGTTTGCTTTTGAGGTTAATGTATCTAAGATGGTAAGTAAGTCATTTCTGATTTTTTCAGAGTTACTTATGATGGAAGTAGTTCCATTAGTTTTCTTTTCAGCAGATAACGATCTCTGATAATATTTTTTGATGTTCTCTGAGAAATCTATATCAACATGAATTGAGGTAAAATAAATTTTGTGAAAACAAATGCAATTATACATTAGCTATCAAGATAATTGTTACACAGTTTAACTACCATCTTGGTCTCAATGACCAATACAACAATTAACAACCTCTTCTTTGAATTTGTACTTAATAGGGAAGGATTAGATATAGTGTAATAAATATAGATATAATGGTACAGAATATTGAAATTTAAGTTTGCAGACACGGGTTTGTGTATTGGTTCACCCTTTACTGTCTGCGTATGTCCTTGAGCAAATTGGTTAATCTCTTAGATTGTGTTTGCTTTTCTGTAATTGGCGATAATAATTTCTGAGGATTAAGTGAGATAATATGAAAATACTCAGTAAAGTGTTCCACAAATATATGAATTATGTATTGATTAGTATTAATTAAAAATCCTAATATGATAAACATACTAAATTTACCTAACTATATAGAGCAGGAGTGATAAACTTGTTTTGCAAAGAGCCAGAGAATAAATGTTTTAGGTGTGCCGGCCATAGCATTTCTGTCACAGCTCTTCAACTCTGTAGTTGTTGAGTGAAAGCAGCCACAGGCAATACATAAATAAAAAGGCGAGGTTATCTTCTAATGAAACTTTATTTACAAAAACAGTCCGTGGGTAAGATTTGCTGGTGGACTGCAGTTTCCTGACCTCTGATGTTGAGGCTGATGACAACAGCTCACGTTTGTTGAATACTTTCTGTATGCCTGAACTTCCACCAGTTTTCTTCCTTAACCTTCACAAAACGCTGAGAGGTGTGTATTAATATGATCACCCTTGTTTCACAAGTGAGAAAATGAGGCTCTGATGAAGTAAATTATTTGCCTGAGGTCTTGCTGATAGTAAGAAGTAACGCTGGGATTTGCAGCCATGTGGTTTACTCTAGAACCTGTGTTCTTAAGCATTTCTCCATCTTTTCCATATATTTATTAAAGTATAAATTCATGAAAGTAATATGGTATATTTTAATATAAATGATGGTATATTGGGGCTTTAAACTATAACTGCATATTTTTTGAACCAAAGGTCCAGGATCCTGTTCTTTATTCCCTGCGTAACTATAATTCAGGCACCAACACCACCTTATCTTTTAAACCTTCTTGGTTCTCACACTAACATACTCTTAATATATCATGATTTTCATTTAGCATGAAACCAAACCAAACCAAACCAAACCAAACCAAACCATGTTCCTATTGCTTGGAATGATTTTCTTCCTTTATTTTTCTGGCAAATTTATCTTCATTCCTTGAAGTCCAATTCAATTGTCACCAACTCCCTGAAGCCTTTCCTAATAAACGTAGGAAGAATTCCATTCTCAGTACTCCATTTCTGAAGCAGCTTGGGGGATTCATTGTTGGGGTATTATTTATATGCCTGTCTTCCTACTGGATGGGAATAATTTAAGGGCAAGGACTTGCTGTGTTCATCTCCCTGTCTCTGCTGCCCAGCGCAAGTGTCAGGCATGGAGAAAAGGCTGCTTTTGGATGGCAAGTTTGAGCAGATTAGCATGAGAGCAGTTTTCCTTCCTTCTTCCTGGCTCGGGTGGCCACTGATGGATTTCGGTTCTTTCAGTGGGCACCTTCTTCCAGAATGGGAATCCAGAGCAGATTCCTTAATCTTGACATAGCATTTATTGAGCATCATCAATAGTCATTTTACTAAATTTAGGTCTTCCTTTAGGGTCATAATTGTTATGTTTTCTTTTTTTCTCTTTTAGGTCAAGATCAGATGAAAACAGGAGCATACACATAGGACAAAGAAAAGCAGACAATGTTTTTTTCTTAAGATGGGTTTAATTTACATTTTCGCTTTACCTCTCAATTAGATGGGTTAGATGTGAATAAATTCAGTGCTGCCTCTCCTGGTAATAACAAGTTGTCCATTAATATAACAGAGATCTTCTCAGACATCAGGAGATGAACTAATCAAAGTTTTGCTTCAGAGTTCTATCTCTCTTCCATCAGGTTGATCTTGGCTTTGGCTCCTATTCATTTTTGAGCACTGAGCAATATGAATTATGGGCTTCTAGTATCTTCTAGTACCTTTACAAAGTTCTTATGAGAAAGTCCTTTTGCCCCATATTCCTTTGCTCTTTGGTTGCTGGAAATGGAGTGGTTTACACTGAGGAAGGCATGGAAAATATCTCTCTCATTTCCTTTGGCCATGTTAAAATTTCCAAGTTGCTGATTTCACAAGATCTCTTGCATGGCTTGGCACTAGATTACTTTGGGTTTTAGTATATGTTTAGTATCAGACATTGTTAGCTTTATTCATTATTTTGAGCAAGTGCTATCTAGGTTCTGCAATGTTTAAAAAGTTGAAATATTCATGTACAAATAATACCTCTGATGGGTGTGTTTTTGTGTTCTAAAGTGCTCAGGCACTACAGCAGTAAGCACAGGGTGAATCACTAATGGAATGCACTATGGGTTTCATCAATCTCTGTCCAGAAACAGACAGTTGAAGTGCATTTTCTCTCTTACCCATGATGCTTGTGTTACGGACACTGGAGAGCAAATCAGTTTCTTCCTGAAGATTTTCAAGTAAGAGGTCTGCTTCATTTCTCATTTTTACTATTGTTTCTTTCAAATCTGGAAATGCATATACTGCTTTCAGTTGCTCACTTAGCTGCATGATTTGTTTCCTATAGGGGAGTAAATGTAGCAAAGCTCGTATTACATTTGATAGATTGGTGGGGGAAAAATGTAAAAAATTGAACTCATTTTTAGGATGACTACCTCATATTAGGTCAACTACCTTATAATAGATGCCCCCTCCATTTTTTATTTGACTGTTTATAATTCTGTTTATGGCTTATCTCTTCCTTGTTAATTTAGCTCCCTGGAATATTTCAGCACTCACTTAAAATATGATCAGCATACAAGGTCTAGTAGAATAAAGGTTTTTGAATCTTTTAGTTTCAACTATTTATATTCTCTCTGTCTCACTTTGCTTTGGGTTTTTAAAAACATGTATTCAGATATGGCTCACTTAAATCAGTCTAAGAGAGCCAATCTACATTCGGCTTTAAACACAGAACTCCTCATCCACCCTAGGCTAAAGATTCCAGCAAGGTTCCTTTTAGTGCTACAGGGTCTTGACTATAATTCCCACCAGTGACAAGGAGGTTTGTTGATGAATGTACCCTGAGTGTCTTTGCTATCACCTCGGCGGTATGCACCTTGCTTCCGCTTCAATTGCTGGCTTAAGCACACACAGTGGGTTCAAGTGAATAATTAGTATATCCCTCTTGATGGGGAAATTGGGTGCAAATCTTGAAGAGTACAGCTGAGGGAAATTACAATACAAATTTATGGGACTATTTGTCTTGGCACAAGTAAAAAGCATTAATAAATGCTTCCTGGCATTTTCTGCTCTAAATCTCCCTTCTAATCTACAGACTTTTCTTCAGACTCCAACTGTCAGAACTATAATTCTTTAGGCTAATAATAATAATAATAAACAATAATAATAGTAAGTACTATTATTGTAATTGGTACTCTTTAAGCACTTACTATATGCCAGACACGGTGCTACATGACTTGTCTTGAATAATTCTCGTAAGAATACTTATGAAATAGAAACTGTACTCACTTTTTTGATGAACAAATTGAAGCTTGGGGAAGTTAAATAACTTGCCCAAGGCCACACAGCAATAAGTAGAGTTGAACCAAGGTGGTTTGACTTTTGAATCTATGTTCATGATGTCCTGGATTCTCTGTCCTCCCCCTCCCCATGGATTTGCAATTTACCCAGCAAACATTTATTATTTAACCATGGCAGGCCTGGAGAATACAGGCACAGAGGAGACAGCCTCTGGCCTTGGGAGCCCCTCAGCCAGGCAATAGTGGATGGGCGGATGGGCCACAAAGAGGTGAAGAGATGGAGAAGGAAACACATGGCTTTCTCTGAGGAGGTTAGGGAAGGCTTCAGAGAAGAAGTGGTAATTGGGTGGCTGGTGAAGAGGAGTAGGAACTCAGCAGGTAGACCAGGAGGGGACAGGCATTTTGGCTTCTGGACCAAGAGGCCCATCAGGCCTGGCCTGGATCCCTGCCTCTGCTCTCTTCTCTCTCGCTTTGCTCAGGGCTTTGGCAGTCTCTGTCAAGAATGTTCACTGTGGATTGGCTCAGTCCACTTTCTCAGTTTTACTTTGTCTGCCATTTTCTATAACCATAAACCTGTGGTTCATGGGCCAAAACCCATTCTCAGAAATGTTTCTTTTGCCCATACAGTGTTTTTTAAAAGTGCTATTAGATTAGCTGCCTATATTTCAAAGAGGTGACATTTCCATAAAAATTGTGATGTCTGATGTCTCTTGAAAAGTGGGAGCATCTGGGATTACAGAGCCCAAATCCTACAGGGCAACAGTCTTTACAAGGATATGGATGTGCCTGTTCTCACCTGCGAGCCGGACTTGGCCATGTCACCTCCCTGGGCCCAGTAGCTGTGTCTATGATGCAGGTGATCCTTCCTCTGAACTATCTAGGTGGATTATGTGTTCTTCCTTGTATGACTTTTAAGCAATTGCTATAAACCGCTGGGACTTTTGCCTATTGAAAATAAATGGCCTTATATTTATACCTGTGCTTTGTGTAACATAAAACTCTTCAGCTTCAACTATTCCTTAATCTTAGACTTTTATGGAGGAGGGGAGATATTTGTTATAGCACTACAATCTTTTTTTTTTTTAGAGATTTTTGCTCCCGGAAGAGTGAAAACTATACCAAACTTATCTTGGTTTTGCCCAGAGCAGTTTTCTATAAAGGACCAAACAGTAAATATTTTAGGCCTCAGGAGTCACAGTGTCTCTGTCGTAACTACAGAACTCTGCCATGGTAGAGGGAAAACAGCCACAGAGGATACATGGGCATGGCTGTATTCCAATGGAACTTTATTTATAAAAATGGGCAGTATGTTGAGTTTCACCTGTGGGCTTTGGTTGCTGACCCCTGGCCCAGAGCAACCAATATAATATATAGCAGTGTTTGACAAATGAAAAAAGTATTAAATAATATATAATAGAAATGATACTGCATTTTAAAGGAATTATTATACTTGTTTTACGACTTCACATTAAGGTACGAACTTCTAAACAACTAAGGAATTTTGGAAGATTTAGCAAATTTCCCTGAGTACATGGTTTAAAAAAAATATTTGTATTAGAAACCGCCCTACTTCTGATTTCATGTCTTTCAGCTCTGCGGGGTTTGGGTTTCCAAATTAACCTCTTAATGACTGCCACTTTATTATAATCAATGGCATCTGGAAAAAAATCATGCAATTCTAACTAGATAAGAAAGAGGCAAACAATCACCAGCCTGACTATTAACTGAACAATGATCATTTCCCTAATGTCAACATAGGTACATTTCTAAATCAAAGGCTGTTATAGCTCGGTAGAAGTTACAGTAAATCAAGAACTTGACTATCTATTGCTTGAGCGCAAATCTTACCCAACGGAGTCATGATAATCCTTGACTTTTAAGAATTTCTCCGATGAGAAAACAGGATGTTTTAAAATCCTTTCTATTTCAGACATGTTCTTTTTGAGGCCTTTGAAGTTGGCATCACAGACAGGCAGGGTCTCTCTTTTATCTTCCATGTTAGCAGCCAGCCTAATTAACCCTTGCACTGCTCTGGAGAGGGAAGAAATGCTGTGGTCCCACTGATCAAAGCACAAGTGACACAGAGGACATGCAGGGAATTCCTGGCCGTGACCCCGTGCGCAGCGATCACATTGCTGGCCACTAATGCCCTCCCGGCAGCGGCACATGCCTGTGTCCCCATCACAGATGGGCCTCTGGGTACCTTCCCTGTTGCAGTCACATGCTAAAAAGGAAGAGAAAGAGCAGAGAATGTCAGTCACCTAGTCTTTTGCTTATGACTCGCTCAAGAATAAAAACTGCTCTTCTCTCCTGAGAATATCCCCAACTCCCATTTCTAAGGCAAACATTTAATACGGTATAATTTCAGAGATCTATGCAATGGCTATTAAAATATAGTGTTCTTCTTTCCATTCCACTAACAAATCAGTTATTTTATATGGAAAATATTAGGTGCCTTTTTTATTGTGAGTGTTTGTGTGTGGGTTATTTACATATTTTAGTGAGGAACATGGATCAGATGGTGGAGGGCACACTAGTGACCACTGCTACTGCATCCAAGAGTGACTCAGGCATACCACAGACTTTCTACGAAGTCCCATGAACACACTTTGTCTCAGTAAACTCCAGCCTGCGTATGCTAAATAAAGATGTCTTCCATTAAATAAGAACTATTCCATTCTCAAAAAAGTCTGGGAGTGGTGTGCTTGCTCCTTGGTATTTATCCAAAGGAGTTGAAAACTTATGTCCACACAAAAACATGCACAGGAATTTGTATAGCATCTTTATTTACAATTGTCAAAACTTAAGAGTAACCAAGATATCCTTCAGTAGGCGAATGGATAAACTGTGGTACAATTAGGCAATAACAATATTATCATTGTTAAAAAGAAATGAGCTTCAAGCCATGAAAAGACATGGAGGAAACTTAAATGCTTATTACATAGTGAAATAAGCCAATTTGAAAAGACTACATACTACATGATTCCAACTATAGGATATTCTAGAAAAGGCAAAAATTTGGAGACAATAAAAAGATCTGTGGTTGCCAGGGATGGGGTGGGGAGGGGGTAGGTTGAGTAGGTAGAGCACAGAGGACTTTAAGGCAGTGGAAATGTTCTGTGTGACACTATAATGAGGGATACATGTCACTATATATTTGTCTAAATCCATAGAATAGACAATACCAAAAGTGAACTATAATGTAAAATTGTGGATGTTGCTGATTATAATACATCAATGCAGTTTCATCATTTGTGACAAATGAACCACTCTTTTAGGGATGTTGATAATGGGGGAGGTTATGCATGTGCGGGGGCAGAAGTATATGGAAAATCTCTGTACCTTCTCAATTCTGCTATAAATCTAAAACTGCTCTGAAAAAATAAAGCCTTTTTTAAAGGGATAAAATTAAGTTTATTTTGTCTTAATTAAAACACACACACACACACACAAAACTATGCTACTTGCACTTTGATCCACACACACACACACACACACACACACTCAAAACTATGCTACTTGCACTTTGATTAAGCCTTAGGTTGGAGTATGGCAGACTATTGAAGTTACTTCAGTTTACAAAAGGTCAGGGAATCACTAGCCTATGACATTGGACAAACTGCAAGAAACAAGTGATTTAAAAATACATTTTGACAGCTAGAATTTCATTAATAATAATGCCAATTACACATAAAATCTGATTTACACATCAAGCTCCTCAACTAGTTATAACCTGTCTGGCTTTGGTTCAGAGGCCTCAACAGGAACCCCTTTGGGGCAGCACTGTGTCACTTCACCAGCTAGAGGCCAAGGCTCCCCTTTATTAACCACTCTTCCCCATGAGTTTTAGTGGGGGCCAGTGGCCTGACTTGACTATTCGCAAAGTTTTCTCTATAAACGTGAAAGCAGTTTTATAAAATAAAATTATTGAAATATTAGAGGGACA